TCCCCGCGGTACCTCTCAGCTGTGTCTGCATCACCATGTAATAAAATCTGAAGAAACAGCGGCCTGGCTGCCTCCCTCCTTCTCTGGGTCCCTTTTGGGGGCTGGGGCTAAACTCAAGGTGGGATGATGACCCAAAGGTAGTGGGCTTTTTCCTAAAACCCGGACCCAGAGGGGTAGGGGACTCACAATGGCGGGGTCCTCTGCCCAGACATCGAGGGCATCAGTCTTGCCTTGCTGGTGCCCACCCCTCTCCGGGCCCCCTTTTCCTCGTCTGAAACAAGGGGTTGGACCAGGCGACTACCAGGCCAGGCCAGCAGGTTGCTGAGGGGCAAGGAGCTGGGCGCCAGGAGACCTGGTGCTCCCTGCCTGGCTCCCTGCCTGACTCCAGGCCTCCCACTTCCCAGCCTCAGCCCACTGTCCAGATGACCCTCTGCTGGCTGGCTTCATGCTGCTGCTCGAGGCCTCCCCTGCTCCATCCCAACCCCCTAGGACACCCCTGCTCCCTGCTATGACAACTCTTGGTTGCCTCCACCCCTCCCTGTTGCTCTGTCCTCTGCCCCAAGTCCCAGGAAACAGAACCACCCAGCACCTGTCCCGCCTTCTCTTAGAGCCTAGAGTAGACTCTGGCTTCTCTTTCCTGCCCTGCCAGGACCGTCCCCACCCCAGCTGGCCAGTTCCTTCCCCTCCCTAGTCCTGCTGAGGTCGGTGCCTAGGGCCCCATTCAATCTCAAAACAGGGCCTTGGGTCAGAGGTTTTATTCCAGGCAGCTGAGCTCACCGCCAGGCCAGCCAGAGTGGGCAGTGGAGGCCCAGGGGCAGGGAGGGTGTGGCCCAGGCTCCACCCGCCTTTGGCTCACAGTGGCAGCTGGCCTGCTTGGCGGTCTCCGCTCTGAGGGCCCCTCAGGGGCACCTCCCACCCCCACCTCTCAAGTTAGGCCGGGGTGTCACAGCCTGGAATCTGCTCTCTGGAGTGGGTGCTCCCAAGCAGCCGCTGCACTGGGGGTGGGGTGGGGGTGGGGCTCAGACACTCCTTCTGGGACCTGGAAGCCACATCATCACTGTGGAGCAGTCCCCCCCACCCCAAGTTAGGGGGGACAGGGCAGGGAGAGAGAATCGGGAGCCTGGTGACCATGTCAGGCACGCTGGGAAAGTACTGACCAGCTGCAGGCCCTCCTCCCTGGGTGTGCCTCCGGGGGGATGCCAGGGAGCAGGCTGGGGGACAAGATGCCACTCTGGCTCCCACAGGGCCCCGCTGCCTCAGAATACTTGTTCCCCGCTTGATGGGTGCCCTGAGCTCTGCAGGGGGCAGCTCCTCAGGTCAGCACCTGCTGGATCCAGCCAATCACACCTGTGATGCGGGTGTAGACGCCAAAGTAGTTGGGCCGGCCGCAGCCCAGGCCCCAGCTGACCAGCCCCGCCAGGAACCAGCGGCCACTGGGCTCCCTGCACACCAGTGGACCGCCCGAGTCGCCCTGAAAGGGGAGAGGAGAGATAGGGCTACGTCAGGGCAGGGTGCCCGCTCCAGGGCAGGTGCTGGCTGTTGGGGGTTTCTGGGTGACAGCAAGAAGGCCGAATTCCCTCTTGAAGCCTTGGCTTCCCTGGGCCCTTGGCCTGGCCTCCAGCATGTCCTGACTGGCCTGGAACTGTGGGCGGGGGGATGTGTGTGTGTGTGTGTGTGTGTGTGTGTGTGTGTGTGTATCCACACACCCCGTCCACCCTTGCCTCTTTCTGGGGCTCCTAGTCCTCTCTCCTGTGTCACCTCGGGCAAACTGCCTTGCGGTGGGCGAGGAGCAGAACTGGGTTCGAGCCTCAGACCTGCCTGCCCACCACAGTCTCTTCTGATCTGTGGGCCTACAACCCGGGGCAAGTCCCTCAACCTCCTGGAGCCTCGGTTTTGTCATCTGTAAAGTGGGGACAGCCACCGCCACCTTGCTGGGGGCAAGCTGATGTGAGCAGAGGGCCAGACCCTGGGTGATGGGCGCGTCACCCTCCCCCCGTGTCCCCCAGCCCCGGGAGTCACCTGGCAGGCGTCCTTCTTGCCCTTGTGGTAGCCGGCACACAGCATGCGGGGCGTCACCTGGTAGCGGTAGGCCTCACTGCACAGGTCCTGCGTGATCAGCTGCACGTCCACCTTCTGCAGGCCGTTGCTGATGGGGCCTGCCCGGTGTGCGGGGTCAAGGCCAGAGGGCAGAGGTGAGAAGATCCAAGGCGCCCCGGAGTCCCCGCCCTTCCTTCCACTGTTCCCTTGGCATCCCAGGAGCCCCTCTCCTGCCCTGCCCACCCCTGCACCTCCGCCTCATGGTCACTCTGTTCGGGCTCCTCCCCTGTGTGGCCCACGGGCACAGAGTCCCTGCCCAGAGCCTGTATGGACGGGTGTCTTCTCCAGCTGCTCCTCCCCTTCTGCCTCCTGCTTGAGCCCCATGTCACCTCCCCTCTGCTCTGGGACAGCCCCGGGATTCTCCAGAGCACACGTCTGACCCCCCCCCCCCACCCCCGCCACGCGCCCTCGAAAACTCTCAGCGCCGGCCCCTGTCCAACCCAGCGCTTCTTCGCGGGGCTCGAGGGCTGCGTGCGGGACCCAGGAGGCTCCAGCGTGCCCTGTGCCTGGTCTCCCTCAGAAACCTGTTCGCCCGGGGAGGGCCCGCCACCAATGTTTCTCTCCGTGCCCTCGGCGGGTCTGAAACACAAGGCAAGGTCCTGGCCGCAGGTCCTCAACCAGCTCCCCTGCCTGCTCCCCGCGGGCGCTCAGCGTGATGCCTTCCTGGGGGTGCCTTTCCCTCCGCGGGCACTGCCAGCTCACGCTCCTCCCTCAGCCTAGGCCTCCCCTGGACGCCTGCTCGGGGCTGCCTGCACCTGCCCGCCCAGGTCAGCTCTTAGCACTGTCTCCCCAGCGGATGCTCTCTCTCCATCTTCCTACCCCTCAGCCCAGCTCCATGTGTGGCATGTCGTGGCTGCTCCTCACTGGGTCGTGGGATGCAGACGGATGAATGGATGAGCGAGGGAGCCAGCCCTTGCTTTCCCACTGCCCTCCCTCATCCTCCGGGGAGGTCACCGTTCATCGAGCCTGTTTCCTCATTTATGAATGATTCTGACAGTGCTGCCTCCACATTGTAAGTCACTGCACACCTTCTAAAAGCCACCACCATGGAGGGCACAGGGCCTGGCTGGAGTTCTGCCAGCCCAGGCCCGGTTCACAGGACGGAGAGGTGGCCTCTAGGAGAGCCGCCCGGTCAGGTTAGGCAGGAAGGGGAGGAATCCTCTGTGCTGAGAGGCCGTAGCAGGAACAGCATGGGCTCTGGGGCCAGGCAGTCCTGGGATCCAGTCTCTGCTCCAGCCCTCTCTGCCTATGTGTCTTTGGCAACAGCTAAATGTCTCTGAGCCTCAGTTTCCCCATCCATAAAATGGGGCCGTACTACTTACCCTAGGGTTATTGCATGGATTAAATTAAATCATGTTCCCCTAAAATCAAACCTTAATTAAAAGCCTCTCCTGCCTTGCCCCCCAACACACACACACACACACACACACACACACCCCTCCACCTTCCCACCCCAACTCCAAGGAGCAGAGGGTTGAGCTTGCCTGTGGGCTGTGGGCCCCTGGCTGCCCCTTTACCCCACACAGAACCAAGATAACCTCCCATGACCTCGGTTCTCCTTAAATGCCCTTCCAGGAGGAAGGCAAGGGCCAGGAGGGCAGGAGCCCACAGGTAGTAAAAGATTGTTTTGTTCTGTGAAATCCAGCCGGACTTACTCCTGGGACTTGCAGGCCTCAGGGTGGAGCCCTGGGCCCCTTGCCCCGCCCCCCTCTAGGCTAGACACTGGGGGAGGCCCACCCCGAAGGCCTGCTCACCCCCCTCTCGTAGGGCGCCCCAGCCCGTGATCCAGCAGTGCAGGCCCGGCTCAAAGAAGTGGGAGCGCGCAGGCAGGCAGACGGGGCGGACGGCGGAGGAGCGCACCACGGGGTGGTCCAGCTGCAGCAGGGCCACGTCGTAGTCGTGGCTGTCCTCCTCGTGGTACGGGTGCAGGAGCAGGCGGCTCACCTTGAAGGACACCTCGCCCGGCCAGCGTGAGCTCTGCCACACCTTGCCCAGGAACACCGTCCACAGCGCCGGGGAGGCCATGCTGGGGGCGGGAGGGGGTCCGCTCAGCAGTGGCCTTTCCTGTGCCAGTTCCTTAGAGTAGCCGGGCTTCACACCCCGGCCCCCCGGCCCCCGGACATGGTCCCCACACCCATCCCCTCCTGCTCTGTGAGGCCAGGCAGCTGGAGGCTGGCGCAGTGTTCACTGTCCACGCTGGAGCCCGCCTGCCTGGGTTCCAGCACCGGCTCCATACGTTCCTAGATGTGTGTGTGCCTGTCTAAGCCTCAGTCTCCTTATCTGTGAAATGGGAATAGCATCTTCTACTCAGGTTTTCAGGGGGAATGTAGTAAGACTGTAGGTAAAAATATTAACACAGTGTTGGGGCCCGGCCAACGTGGCTCAGTGGTTGAGCGTCGACCTATGAACCAGGAGGTCACGGTTTGATTCCCGGTCAGGGCACATGCCCAGGTTATGGGCTCCATCCCCAGTGCGGGGCGTGCAGAAGGCAGCCGATCAATGATTCTCTCTCATCATTGATGTTTCTAGCTCTCTCTCTTCCTCTCCGAAATCAATAAAACAAAACAAAACACAGTGCTGGGCACCTGACAAGGGCCTCTCCTTTCATCTGTGTGCTTTATAGGCGGGGCTGCTGGGAACCCCTGAGGCTCCTCAGTCCTCCCTGGGGGATGGGTGGGGAGGGAGTGAGTGTGGAGGGATCGCAGACTGGGCCTCGCAGACCCCCGGAGGCCAGGGCAGCGGCCAGGTCAGCCTTTACCTTTCAGGCAGAGGGGAGCCAGGGGTGGAGTGAAAAAGGGAGGAGGCCGGACCGCACTCAGAAAGGGTCCCCAGGGAACCTGGGCCAAGGAGGCAGAAGGGAGCAGGCTATGGGCTGTGGGGCCCAGCATGGATGGGCAGTGGTGAGGGTTCGCCCGGAACACTGAGAGACTTCGGTCCGGCTCTGACGTGAGGAGGAGGGACGCCCTGTGCTGCCAAGTCCTAGGTTGGGGACTGCGTAGCCCCAGGGCGGAAGGGGGGTTGTGGGGAGAGGAGTCCGGGGCTGGCCGTGCGGGGGAGGGGTCTGGGGACCCGGAAGATAGGCCCGGGGTGAAAGGGGGACATGGTAAGCCAGCACCATGCACGCGGGGAAGATGTCTGTGAGGCGGGGTGAGATGTCCCCTTGGGGGTGTGCCTGGGGGAGAGGGGTCTGCTCTCTGCTGTACCCCAGTGTCAGCCACCGCCCCTGGCGCGTACAGGAGCACAACACACGTTGCTGAGTGGATGCATGAGCGAGTGAATGCCTGAAAGGCTGACCCAACTTAAAACAAGATGCCAGCCCGACCGGTGTGACTCAGAGGTCGAGCACCGACCTTTACACCAGAAGGTCACGGGGATATTCCCGGTCAGGGCACATGCCTGGGTTGCAGGTTCGATCCCGGGTAGCGGGTGTACAGGAGGCAGCCGTTCAATGATTCTCTCTCATCATTGATGTTTCTATCTCTCCCTCTCCCTTCCTCTCTGACATCAATAAAAATATATTTTAAAAAACAAAACCAGATACCGAAAGGAGAGCACAGAGAGGTTGAGCCACCTGTCCAGGGCCACAGAGCATGTTTGCGGCGGAGCCAAGACTGAACCCAAGTGTGGAAACAGCCATTTGGGGGGCTCCTCACCAACCTTTGCTCTGTGTGCTTAGAGTGTAGGGACACCGGGCCTCCTTGCACGGCCTTCCCTGCCCCCCTCTTATGGCCTCGTCCCCACACCCCCCCTCACCTGTCCTCCTGGAAGCAGTGGGCAGCTGTTATCACCCAGCGGTCAGCGATGAGGGCCCCCCCGCAGATGTGTCGGCCCCGAACCTGGAGGCTGGCCTGCCACGGCCACTCACCCTCTGAGGACACGGCCCCGCCCACAATGCGGCCAGAGGGACCCTGGAGGCCACAGTCTGGGGGTGGGGAGGGGGACAGGGAGGGGCAGGAAGGAGGCCAGTGGGCACAAAGACAGAGAGAGACAGAGAAAGGGGAGGGAGAGCGAAGGGAGACACAGAGAAAGAATGAAGGACGGAGTGAGGGGGCAGAGGTGGGAGAGAGAGACAGGTGGACACGTGGTGAGCTTTCCCTCCTGCTTCGGGTGTGGGCACCTCCCTCTCTCCCTCCCTCCCTCCCTCCCTCCCACGCTCTAGGGCCCAGTGGGTGGAGAGGGCCTCTGCCCACCCCACCCGTCCGTGCCCGGGCCGCAGGCAGGGCGGCTCACCACAGTGCTGCTCATCGGAGCCGTCCCTGCAGTCGGGCCGCCCGTCACACTGCGGGTTGGGCTTCTTCACGCAGCTGCGGTCCTCACACTGGAAGGTGAACGTCCCGCAGGGCACCCCTGGGATAGAGGGGGTGGGGGCAGGGCACAGAGGATGGGTCCCCGAGCCCAAGCGAGCCTCCAATCGAGGCCCCGGGAGACGAAGCCTGGAAGAGCCAGGAGGTGACTGCTGAGGGTCTCGTGAGCCAAGGAGGTTCCCTGAGGCTCCCTCCGCGTCTCCTAAGGGCAGGCTGTGGCCCTCCTCCCCGCCCCGCCCCGCCCGACTGTCCTGTTGAGAGCAGGGCTCTGTCTCCCTCTCAGACGGGGCCCCCGACCCTAGGGCCAGGCCCCCCACTTCGCTGTGGTGCCCAAAGGCAGAACTGCGCCTCCCCTTTCAGACTGGGCTCTGCACTCAGCCCGGCAGACCTCCGGCCCTGGCCCCACCCAGCCGCCCACCTGCCCCTCACTGCTCCGCCTCCTGGCCTCCTTGCCTCCTGTTTGAATGTCATGTCTCCTCAAAGCCCAGTTCCAAGCCTGCCTCCCCTAGGAAGCCTCCCCCGCCTGCGCTCCCCACCCTCCGCTCTCCCCATGTTACTGGACATAGTGTCCAGAAGGCTTTGGGCAGAGAGAACCACCCATCATGTCTTCCTACCAACAGATGGTCCCCAGAGGGCAGGGGTCATATCTCTGGTGTCTTTCATTCCCACTGCCTCCCTCTCCCTCACCTATCACTGGGTAGTCTGCAAGTGTTGGTTGGCTGGATGGATGGATGGATGGATGGATAAACCAATAGACACAGAGAGATGATTGGGAAGACCAACAAATGGGTGGATTGATGGTCCAGTGGGGAGAGTGACAAACAGGTAGAAGGAGGGATAACTGAGTGGATGTAAAGACCAATGCATAGACAGGTAGTTGGAGAGATCAGTGGATGGGTGCACGGATGGAGGATGGGACAATGGACATACAGATAGTTGGGTAAACAAATAAATGGGTAGATTGGTGGTTCAGTGGATAGGGAGGTGGTTGGGCAGGCCAATGACGGATAAATGAATGGGTATACACTCAACTTCTGGTTGGAGAGATCAGAAGATGGATGGATGGATGGACGGATGGACATGTAGGCATACACACAGATGGGTTGGTAAGTATTTGGACAAGAGAGCAGAAACCGTTGCCAGAGAAGCGTGCCGAAGGGCTGGGCTGTCTGGCTGAGACCCACTCTTTGGTTTCCCTCTAGACGCCTGGTCACACCCCACCCTACCTTCCTGGCACTGCTCTTCATCACTTCCGTTGAGACAGTCAGGCTGCCCATCGCAGACCCTGGATAGGGGGACGCACGTGCTGTCCTCTTGGCACTGGAATGTGGCTCTGCAAACTGTGGGGACACGGGGGGCCGATAGGGGGAGCCAGAGGGACAGGCTGGGCTTTGCCTTGCCTGTAGAACATGGATTGCCCCTCACAATGGCAAATCTCTCTCCAGCTCCTTTATGCTAGAGTTTCACAGCAGCCTGGTGAGAGACCCTATTTCATTGATGAAAACAGGAGTGAAGTGACGTGTCCACGGTCAGCTGGCTCAGCCGGAAGTGGAAGCCAGATGTTCTGGTTACAAATGAGGCGGCTTTCCCAGCACCCAGACAGGCTCACCCCAGAGAAAGGTACACGCCCTTCCATCCGCGTCTCTCCCTTTGATGGGACAGAGAGGAGGGAGGTCTGGGGGTCAGACCAGAACAGGTTGCCCTGATGGTGAGGATCGGAACTCAGGATCAGAGGAAGAGGTTTTTATTCCAAGAGGCTTGGAGACCACCAGGCCCCTGAGCTCTTCCGCAGGGCTGGGCAACTCCAATTAGACTTGGCAATTCCAGTCTGAACCCCTGAGGTGGAGGGTGAGAACCCATTCAAGGGAGGGAGATGGTGGCTCTGCCCTGGGCACCAGGGTCTGCCTGCCCCTGCGTAACAGCCTCTCCTCCCGGGCCCACCTCGGTTCCTTCCCGGCTGGCTGCTGGGACAGAGGCTGGGGGTGATGGCCAGGGGGGGAGAAGCCCCGAGATGGGAGTCAGGAGACCTGGTCCCAGTTTGTCCCCACCACTGCCCCATGGGAGGAGGCTTGCCCACTCTGTGCCCCCATCTTCCATCTCAGCACAGAGAGGGCACCCCACTTCCGGGATGCTGATATCGGGAATTGCACGTGGGGGTCTCTACTCAGAAGGGTGGGCTCAGCCGGGTGCAGAGAAGGCGAGGGGAGAGGAGGGGTGCCACAGGCCGACAGCTCACCGCAGTTTCTCTCGTCCAGGCCGCTGGGGCAGTCCTTGACCCCGTCGCAGGCGGGCACGCAGAGTCCGTTCACAGAGCAGAGGAACTCTCCAGGGCACGCTGCGGGGAGGGTGCCATTAGGGTGTGTCATTGTGAAAACGTGCAGATGCAGCCTCTGTGAGCCTCACTGCACCCCCATGTACACATGCTGTGGACATGGTCCATGCGGAATCCATGTCCAGTCTCACACATGCAGCACACACACAGGTATGTATGAGTGTGTATACCTTGTGAACACACGCGGCTGCTTTGCTTACACATGTGGGCACACACAAAGCTGCATATGCGTCTACACACACATGTTCACAGGCACACGTGCACACACACACTCCCTTTGCCTAGCCCCTAGGCACTCCCAGGGATGGCAGAGGCTGGAGGAAGCTGGGGGGCTGTGGGGGGCTGCCTCGCCCCAGCGGCTCGTACTCACGATCCGACTGGTTGTACAGGCCGTAGTGCACCTGCACGCCGGGCCCGGTGAGGGAGATCTGGGAGGTGAAGTTGATGGTGATGCCGGTGCTGGCCACCACGGGGATCCTCTCAGCGTAGGGCTGCAGCGTGCGCAGGCCACACAAGCTGGGGCGACAAGAGACACACTCAGGGCCCCGTGGGTCTGTCCAAAGGAAGGGGCGGCCTGGGCCCCGTGCGGACAGGGCAAGGACAGGGCAGCCACAGAGGACGGGGGAGCTGCACCCCCTCCTCTGTCTTGATTTTCCCCGTGGGTGGCCTCTCCCTCCCAGAACCATCTTCAGAAAGCAGCCTGGCTAGGTCACTCCCCTGCTCACAACCGGCAATGGCTCCCACTGCCTGCAGGATGCAGCTCAAGTCTGGACTCCAGTCCCCGTGACTAGCAAGTTAGGGTCCCTCTCGGACCCCCACTTTCCTCTCTTATGAAATAAGGGCCATTTGGTCTGTTGACCTGAAATCTAACAAAAGGGCTCCAGCGTGTTGGGAGAAGAAGCGCCGACTATTCCCCTCTGTGGACAGGAGAGGGCAGCCGCCTTGTGCTGGGGGGTTGCGGGGGGGTGTGGAGGGGGAGCCGCTCCCGCTCAGGCACTGTCCCTCCCACAGAGACACCTGCATAGCCCTCTGGTCCCCCCGTGACCCTCTGGGCATGAGGGAGGGACCGTCCTGCTCCGGGGCCACTAGTGCAGTGCTGATGGGGTGCCCCTTCTCTGTGCCTGGTCACACCCGGGGGACCATCCCCCAGCCATGAGCACCCCCACACCCCTCCCTGCCAAGAAGTTGCTCTTGTTTCCCCGGAACCTCCCCGGAGAGGCAGCGTTCTCCCCAGAGAAGAGGTAGGAACCCTGGCATCGCACAGTGGGGCACAGGGAGCTCACCCACAGGGCGCCGGGGTGGCCCTCGCCTCACAGAGCAAGTGGGTGCACTTTCATGGAGTGGACGAAACCACACCCCGGAGCAGCGGGACCCTCCCCGGAGAGAAGTGTGGGGCTCCCTGCCTTCCCAGGTGGGACACCCTCACGGAACAGATGGGATGCTCCTGGGAACGCCCCACAGGGAAGGGGGTCCCTTCGCAGAGCAAGTAGGAACGCCTTCATAGGTGCGGGGAGCACAGCCAGACCCGGGTGGAAAGAGTCCGGAGAGGGCAAAAGTGCCCCAGCAGAGAAGGTGGGGGGAAGTCAAGCAGGTGGGAAGGCCCCAAAGCATGCTGGGAACATCCCACTGAGCAGGTCACTTCCCAGGCACCGGGCACTTCCTCCGAACTTCCAGAACACGCTAAGCACTTCCGTGCATCACCCAGTGAGTTCACCAAGGAGCCAGGGAGGACGCGCTGGGGGGCTACGTTAACCTCTCCAAGCCTGGGCTGGGGCTGGGGCCGGGGCTGGGGCTGGGGCTGGGGCTGGGGCTGCAGCTGCGCGCGGCTGGGCCTATCCCACCCCTCCCTCAGCAGCTGCACATGGCAAGGCCTCACTGTACGGGGATCTGAGGGTCTCGAAGCAACGTCACCCTGTGAGGGAGGAATAGTTCCCAAGGCGAGAACCCAGCCTCCTCGGGACCCAGGAGGACACACCCAGCCTGCACAGGAGGAGGTGGGCCCCCCACACTCACTGCAACGCCAGCTTCAGGGGTGAGCCCTCACGTTCCCCGTGTCCCCCCCACAGTCCTGGCCAAAGGCGCAGCCTGCCTACATGGCCACAGGGACCGTATTCTTGTCCCCACCCCAACAAATAGTTCTCAAAGTGAGGTCTGGGGACCCCTGAGGGTCCAGAGAAAAACTGATTTTCATAGCAATGCTCAGATGCCATTTGCCGTTCTCACTCCCTCTCACGAGAATACAGTGGAATTGTCCAGAGACCGCATGGTGTGTGATACGGTGACCGATTAAATGCAGAAGCCAGTGTGGGATCCAGGGTGGTCTAGTCATCCAGTGATTAAAGGAAGTTGCAAAAGTGTGAAGTGGTGTTATTTTTCTCACCAAATGCTATTGGTTTTGGAAAAGATCATTTTTAAATAAGGTAAGTTAACATGTAATGGGTTTATCACGATTTTAAATCAATTGGTAAATGTGCTGATTCCTCCCGGTTGTCATTTGTAATACTGTAAACACCGATTACGTAACGTGTATACAAACTCTCCCGGGTGCTCAATAATTTTACAAAGTGTCAAGGTGGCGTCCTGAGGTGGAAAAGTTTGAGAACCTCTTCTCTGCCTCTGATTGCCACAGCCCAGCGGGCGGCCAGGCTGGCGTCAGGCACCACCAGGGGGCACCCCCGAGCAAGCCTGGCCCTTCTTGTCCTTTTAAAACGAAGGAATCCAAGGGATTTTGTCGTTTTTTAAGGAGGATAAACAAATGTCTCATAGATGGTTATCCACAGAGAACTGCCCCGGGAGCGGACAGGGGCCAGGGCCTGGGAAACACTGGGCAGGGAGGGGTGAGGAGTCAAGGGCATCCCTAACCCTCTCAGGGTTCAAGGACACGGGTCGCTGTCCGCACCCAGTTCAGGAGACTGTGGAGACCGGAGGCACTGGAGCCGGGTGAGGGGAGTGGGAACAGTTCAGTCTAGATCAGTGATGGCGAACCTCTGGCACGCGTGTCAGAGGTGACACGCTAACTCATTTTTTTGGTTGATTTTTCTTTGTTAAATGGCATTTAAATATATAAAATAAATATCAAAAATATAAGTCTTTGTTTTACTATGGTTGCAAATATCAAAAAATTTCTATATGTGACACGGCACCAGAGTTAAGTTAGGGTTTTTCAAAATGCTGACACGCCGAGCTCAAAAGGTTCGCCATCACTGGCCTAGATGTTGCACGGTCTCTCCAGGTGCCAGCACATGTCCCCCCTGAGAGCCCAAGAGAGAACTCCAAAATCTGCTCGTGGCTCAGCTGGTACCCCAGGAACCTGCCCAGCCTGGGCAGCATTTGGCTCCCACGCTGGAGACCCGGGGCGTGGGGGGAGGGAGAGGGAGGGAATTCCTGAACAGCCTCTTGGTTCCTAGGTGGCCAGACAGGCTGCAACCAATTACTCAGTCTGAGTCATTCAACTCAGAGATGATCAGTTTAGTCAGTGCCGCGCTAGTTTGTTGGTTTTTTCAAATCTAGTCGCTAGATAACTTCACATCATAATCTAGATTCTTGTTTCTCCGTAAAAGTAA